ATTCCGATATGCATGCTTTTGTGGACTGATTCTAATGAATGAAGCAGGGGGCTTTGTTTTGTATGGACTCTTGTTTATTTATGAGATATTGCTGTTGGAGGGGGCATATTGTGTTGGCATATACTAGTTTAGATCGGACGACCGTTTTATATGCAGTCTGTTGTACGTTCTGTTGTGCTAAGTAACAATGTCTCCTAAGAAATCAGTGTTATTGGTGCTTTGATAACAAAGTTAATGAAGTGAGCGTGCTAAGTAAGACCTTTGATGAAAGTGATACCTAGGTACTTATGTGAAGGAACAAATTAATTAGAAGCGGTAAAAATAGAGTAGACAGAAAAGTAGTCCTAAGAACAATAAATAAATTAGCTTGATGTTAAAAACATACTGTTTATTTGTCATTGTAAGAATTCCATCAATGTATCAATGCCACGTTGAAGAATCTCTGAGTTGCTAAGATAGGAAGATCAGCGGTATGAAACGCTGTTGTCTGCAAAAACATCAAAAGTGACGAGATTAGTGAACGTAGGTCATTTATGTAGGCGAGAAACAGAAGCTGTGCCAAGACGCTGCCCTTGGGAACTTCAGATTTCACCGTGTTGGCGGGGTATGAGGTACCATCTACAAAAAAAGAGTGCTCACGATTAGTAAGAAATGATAAAATGCAACTGACAACATGAATATTAAAATTTTGTTGAGAAGTTTATTGAAGTAAACGTTAATGAGGAACACAGTACCAAATGCGTTAGCTAAAGCAATAAAAATGGCATGCACATTACTAGAGTCATTGGAGGTATTATGCACGTATGTTACAAATTAAAACAGCGGAATTCACAAGAAATGTTTTCTAAAGCCAGGTCGGTGAGCGTGAAAATATGTGGAGTTATTAAGGTAGTCAATGGTTTCATAGTAGATGACGTGCTCTAATACTTACGATAAGATGCTTACAAGAAAGCTGTAATTAGATGGATAGTTGCAATCTCTAGATTTATACATGGGGATGAATATATCATTTGTGTTTTTTCCCAGGATCGAGCAGGTGCTTGCGGGCATAAACTGACTTTTGCGTATTCATACCTTTCGGCGACGGTGGTACCGCGGTGTGAAGATAGCGCTCCCTAGCTCTTGGATGATCACTTAATCGGGAGAGTCCTCGCTTACACTTTCCTAACGTGAACGCATAAGTGGAGGCTTCTATATCTCCCGTATTTAAAAAATTAGGATTAGTGACGCGTCGCAGACCCGACCTCGTACTACTGTTTCACGACGATCATACAAATGACAACTATTTTGCGCCTCCTATAAGCCTAGAAAGTTGAGAATCATCTTCGCTCGTTTAAACTTTCTGTCCTTCTAGCTTAGGAGCGATGAAAAAGAATCGCTGCTTTGATTTTTGTTCAATTGAGACGCACTACAATGGGTATTTGTTCACCATTTTGAAATTCACCCACCCGATGCCCGTTTTCGATCAAACTATAGTTTGATCGAAAACGTGCATCGGGTGGGTGAATTTTTTTCCCGTAAGTAGAGTGCAGGGAATTCGGAACTCTGGGTACATTCAGTGACTCTAGAGAGTCACTGAATGTACCCAGAGTACCGAAGTTTATTCATTCTACTTACCGGAAGTCAATCCCGCAGAATCTTGTTCTTACTGGCTGGTTTAGCTCGTGGCGGAAGTGATCACTTGGCCATTTTGGGGATGGGGCCAAAACAACAAAGAAACACATATAAAACGTTTACGCGTAACAACGCATACTCAAGGTTGGGAGCTCTGGTCATCGATGAGTTAGGACCCAACGAAAGATGCTTCGATTTTCTCGAGTTTTCTTTCTTTATATATACCAAGGAGCCGCTCATCTGGTTCACCAAAGAAAATTGCCTGTTCGCTTGCTCGCTCGGGTTGCGCTGGTGCTGTTTCGAAATTTGCGCCTCACACGCTACGACTAACACTCAACTTCGGTGTGTTCCGATGCAAGAGAGAGAGAGAGAGACGACACAGCAAGGGAGGACGAGGAAAGTGGATTGAAGAGCTCGCACGAGAACGAAGGCTACATTGCACTCGCGTCGCTTCGACCGCACAGGGCAGCGCCATATTGGGGATGGGCTGGAGGACGACTGCTGCCTTGCGGCTGCGGTCTCAAACGAAGCTCGGTAGCTTCGGTACTCTGGGAACATGCAGTGACTCTAGATCAAGCTATATTCCAGTGGTACACGCAGAGCCCCGGAAACAAGCTTGGGAGCTGTACGTTCAGACTAGTGTAATGTTTCAGTTGGGTTGTACGGTAAGCCAAAAAACAAAAAAAAACATAAAATGCTTTCTCGGACAGTTTTTGGGGTCATTGTTAGTTTAGCAAATTATGTTGGTATTTTTAGAATTTTCATAAGGTGCGACTTTAAGTTGGTTCGCGTCATTTTTAGCTCATTGACCATCTAAGTTCTTGATCTAACTTAGCTATCATTGTGTTAATCGCGGCGATCGCGTTCATCAGCTTTTTTTTTGTTTTAGTTTAATGTTTTGAGTTACCTGAAGAAGCTTGTTCTCCTCGGCTTCTAATCTAGTCAGAAAGGCAATTATATCGTTCTCGGTTTCAAATGCACGGCTCAAATTAGCTACTGCCAAATCTTTGAGGCCTAGATTCGTTCGAATATCACCAGCGGACAAGGAAGTATCTGAATGCCAGCAAGAACACCACATGTATAACCAAACACAAATTTAAAAAAAAAAAATAGTTTGCAGGACTAGCAGGCAAGGCATCTCAAACAGGAAAACTTTATCGTATTGGAATTTTGAGTGCGATAGGTAACTGACATCGATCAGTATAAGGGCACATCCTTCCGGTACCAACCCCGAGTGGTGTGAAGCCGGTCGAAGAGACATCTTTCCGGTGAAGGCGAACTTTTCGGGTCGCCAGGGCGTGTTGGCACGCATTTCACATCGCTTTGTTTACGGCTAGAGAGACGAGTGGGGTTCAGGGTTTAGGTGAGCACCCCTCAGTGATGCACGCGTTGATCTTCGGTCAATGCCCGGATTTGCTCATCCGATTTGCGTAAGGAATATGAAAGCCGGCTCTTGTTTAACACGTTAATCACTCAAGAGTGTTTGCCTAAACCTTGAACTCTACTCCCTTTACCTCTCGCCGTAAACCAGGCAATTGGACATCCATGGAAACGAGCAAATCAAATGTACAATATTGTCCCGTTCAATCACTTCACAAAGCTTTTCCGAATACGTCACCCGCTGCAGGAAAACAAGAGGTAGCGACATCTCTCCTTCTCCTTCTCTACTGTTTTCTCTTTCTTTCTTTTTATTTATTTATTTATTTATTTATTTATTTTTTTGCTACGTGCGCGCAGTTTAGAGAAAACAAGGAGAACCAGCAGACGACGGCCGTATCATCTTCATGCATTCAGGGAGCACAATCGTTCTCGTTACGTATTTGCATGGGCAGGTTGCTCATACACCCGACCGAGGTGCCCGCAATATGACGGAGGCTTATTCCGGAGAAGGCGCCGTGTAACCGAGCTTTCGGTTGCACGTCAGAAGATCCCCAGGTGGTCGAAATTAATCCTCAGTCCTCCGCAGGGGCGTGCCAGATGCCCGTCGTAGGTTTGACACGTAAAACCCCCAAATTTGACTTTAGGTTGCTCATACATACTCATAGTCTGTAGTGCCAAGCAAATGTTTAACAACAAGAAATAAATAATGAAACGTGCCGGCCGCGCTTTCAACGTTGGAATGAAGCTTACAGAACGGAGGAGTACCACGTGGTTCTCAAGAGCGTTGTCAGCTACCGTCGCCGTAAGTCAGTAAAGAACATGTTTCTTTTTATGTTTGATTTGCACGGCTCTAAAGGGTTAGTGTGCTGCGAATAAGTCAAAAGCTTCGTGATATTTAGCCCCACCTAATCTATACGGCGAGAAATCCTCGATCCTGCGATCTTCCACGAGCCCAACGACTACAAGCGTGAATTTGAGTCGCTGCTGTCTCCGCGCTAAAAAGAGCTGGAAAAACTATGGGAATCATGCCGTAGATAAACATTGATAACCTATCGGTAGTCACGACGCCGTACTGTACAGCCATTCTCCACAAATAAACATCTGCTGCACGCGCTAATTTATGTAAAAAAAACAGGGCCGATCATGACACATTTTCAAGCGATGTATTCCATAGATTCGTTTCTGATGCATTTCATAGACCTCGATTACATTGATTGCTAAGTAGCAATTAAGATATCCAACTCAAGCTTCCTTAATTACCAGAATGGAAAATAATGCATTTAAATTGAAAGGGCAACCTACCCTTAAAATTAAAATATGTCGCACGTATTCATTTCCAAATTGACACGAACTATCGTAAAGGAGACATCATTGAAATGTCAGCTCTTTTACATATGCCAAGATAAAATATTTACATTATCAGAGACAACAGAAGAAATGTTATTGAAAGGGATCACTCTACACCATTTTAATGGGCAATTTATAAAAATCAGTTATAAAAGGGCTCGCACTAGACAGTTTTCCCAACAGAGGAAGTACCCCAAATAAATTATTGAAAGGCCGCATACTAGATGCAATGTATGTATACAACACTAATATGTACAAATATGTGCAAGATTGAATATATAGAAGAGGTTAAGATATTAATGAAGCAAGAAACAAACTTTACATGAAAGTTAATACTCTAATAAACATGGAGTAAAATAGAGGAAACACAATACTAAGTCATCAAACAAGTCGGGATCTGACCGTCGTAAAGGGAACCCCGCGTAGCTGGTGCAGCCAACGAGGAGACACGGCCAAACCTCCTGGATTCTTAATGGCGGCCAAAGGGGTGGAGCTCTAGAGAAGGGCACGTGTCATACACCGGCCAACCGCTGAGCTCGGCGGAGAGATCAAAGCTGGTCGCTACTTTCGCAATATAGGGGGGCTCTATTCAGACGTGACTAATCATAAGGTGGCCGCCCGTGGCCTATTAATTCATTGATCTCTACATCATTGTGCAGGGAAATCTTGCAAAATCCACGCCGACTGCTGCAAGGATTTGGTTTGTGAAAGTGGATCTTGCCAGGGTAAGTATAACTAAGGTCGTACGTAACCTTGGATAATTCCCATCGTGAAAACACTGTCCAACTTAAATTAAGCATAGTTGTAAACCATGACTGGGGATAATAACAAGGGACAAAACACAGAACGACACGGGCGACGTCTTGATAAATATAAACCCGAGACAGGGGTTACTGAGAAGGGACAAAACACGGAACGACAGTGACAAAGTGTTCTTCAGTGTTCTGTGTTTTGTCCCTTGCCAGTATCGCCAATCTCGGGTTTACAACTATGCTGAATTTACACCAGCTAGCCTGCACACTCACCATTGCCTCATGACCTAAATTAGTCCGAGCAGCAGCTCTTTGCTGAAAGGAAACCTTGCTGGGATAATTTTGACATAACTCTGCATGTGTAAATGTATGGATTCTGCTGCGTAGAGAGAACTATCGGCACCTCACCCCCAAAGCCGTACAATGAAGCCATTTGGCTTATACAGATTCGAACGCGAGTCATCGCGAGATTCGTGCTTCGAATGCCGCATGGAAATCAGTTCAAAAAGAAACTTGGTACGCGGCATTCGAACTAAAGATGGTGCGGTGACTCGTATTTGCAGACTGTCTTTTGTATGATGAACGAGTAGTGTGACCACGGCTTAAAAAAGAACCCAAAATACTAAACCCTCATTTCCCGATAATAATCTAAACATACACACACACTCCTTAGTCCTGAGACATCTCGTAAGGGCATTCAGTATTTTAAATAAGTAAATATCCAATTACCAGGATACATCCAACACACATATAGAGCTGCTAGAACGCCTGGACCTACCATGTTGTCATTGTGATTATTATACCCCCCTCACATAAAATAGTAAGACGGGATCGTGAGGGACGTGGTGGAGGCGTAGCTATAATAGCAAAGAAAGAAGTTCATATCATTAGGCTTGAAAACATTCCGGAACACGAAAGCATTCGCTGTGAAATCCGTTATCGAAATATTTCTATTTTATTTGGAGTCGTTTACAGACCGCCCAATAGTCCTGTATCATATATTGAATTGCTGGCAAACTATCTGGATCGCATGCTCACGCCTAATAAAAAATGTGTGCTCACTGGCGACTTTAACCTACCTGAGATTGACTGGAATGCGTTAGCTATCTCGGGCTATCATGACGTCGAGTGCGCACGCCTGCTTCTTGATTATGTCTTTTTCCACGATCTTAAACAGATAGTCAGTGTTCCCACTCGAGTCGCAGAGACAACTCAGTTAATCGTAGACCTTATCTTTATCAGGGATTATCCCGGTGACCGTACAGTGTCTGCCGCAGATAGAATCGCCGATCACAAACTGGTTAATCTAAATTTGATTATCAAAAAAAAGAAACCAAAAAAACACCAACGCCCCTACTTAAGACTTACATTGATTTTTGAGCTGCAGACCATGAATCAGTTCTTGATTGTTTACATTTTTCTTTCATGAATTTTGAGCGTATCGATGACGTCTCTCTTCTATGGAAAACGTTCAAAAGCCTCGTCACGTCCTGCATAAATCAGTTTGTTCCGATCCGTCGAAAACCAATCAGAAAACACAATCCATGGATTAACCGTTAGATTATTCACCTTTAGAGGCGTGTCAAACGCAAACGAAAGGCAAAAATTAAAAATAGCTCGGAGCTAAACGTCCTCAATGATGAATTACTCAGTAAAATACTCATCGCATGTGATAAAGTTTATGGGCAAACTCTTACTTCCTTTTTATTACAATCACCTCAACAATTTTGGCGTTTTCTCTCTGATACTAGTGAACGAGTCGAACAACTAAGAATTAATGGTATTGTGTCAACTAACGGTAAAGAAATTGCAAATGAGTTCAATGCCAGTTTTCACAGAGCGTTTACTACACCCGATTCCCTTTTGATTGAGAACGACAATTATGCCGCTTCATCCGCTTCTGTTAAAATGCGAGATGTGGTGCTCAGTCATGGGGGCATATTTTCGCTTTTGTTGAATATCAATGTAAAGAAATCATGCGCTGCTGATGTTATACCTAATTCCTTTCTTCATCGCTACTCGGAAGTAGTCTCCGAGTACTCTTACGTGCTTTTCAGTGCCTCACTTAATCAGTGTTCCTTACCAGCAGATTGGCTAACGGCTAGAGTAGTTCCAGTATTTAAATCAGGTGACAAATTAGACGCCGGAAATTACAGACCTATTTCTTTAATAAGCACATGTTGCAAGTTACTTGAGCACATATTCGCTAGCCATATATCTCGTTACCTAGAGTCGACAAATTTTTTTGACAAGAACCAACACGGGTTTCGTAGAAACGTTTCCACAACGACTCAGCTAATATCTGTAGTCCACGATTTTGCAGCCGCGATGGACAATCGTCACCAAATCGACGCAATTTTTTTAGATCTATCTAAGGCGTTCGATCGCGTGCCTCACAATCTGCTCATTGATAGATTGAAAGAGGCAGGACTTCCTGATAGGCTGGTTCGTTGGATACAGGCCTATCTACAAAACCGCTCTCAATTTGTTGAACGTGATGGCTCTAAATCTGATAATCTACAGGTCTTGTCGGGTGCACCACAGGGCTCCGTGCTCGCACCGTTACTTTTTTTATTTATATTAACAATCTTTCCAAAAGTATTAATGAATGTGTTAGTGTAAAATTGTTCGCGGATGACTGCGTAATGTATAGTCTTGTCAAAAGTTCTTCCTGTCAGACTACATTGAATGAAAACCTGTGTAAACTTGCGGACTGGTGCGACCTCCAGATAATAAAAATTAACTTCTCTAAAACCGTCTCAAAGACATTGACTACATAAAAAGCCCCTTTCTTACATTTACCATATTGGCAACCAGTGCATTCAAGAAGTTTCCTCTGTGAAATACTTAGGTCTAACAATTAAAAACAACCTAAAATGGGACCAGCACATCAACAACATATGTGCCAAAGCGTTCAAAACGCTATGCTTTCTTCGAAGAAAACTCAAAGGGTGTCACTCGGCTGTGAAACTTGTAGCTTATCGTTCTCTTGTTCGCCCAGTTCTAGAGTACGCTTCTATTGTGTGGGACCCGTATTTTGTGAAATACATTGCGGAGGTGGAGCGGATCCAACGTCTTGCTGCAAGATTCATCCTATCTGACTACCGCGCTTCATCATCAGTAACTAACTTGTTAAAGCAGCTTGACCTCGAGCTGCTCCACCTTCGCCGACAAAACTCTAGGCTGAAATTTCTTTACTTACTTTATAACAATTCATCTGGTCTATCAAGTGACACTTATCTTCGCCCTGTGCCACAAAGGTCAGCTCGACTAAATCACTCCAAAGTCATATGCCCACACTATGCCAGAACTAACCTTTTTCAGACGTCATTTTTCCCTAACACAATTCAACAATGGAACTGTTTGCCGTCATTAGTTGTGGAATGTACTGATGTCAACCAATTCGAACATTTATTGACTAAACTCCTTTTGTAACCCTCCCCTGCTTGGGCAGCTCCGCTGCCTGCTGTATATGTAAATAAATAAATAAACCACGACAATAGAAATTGCTATTACTGATTTTAGTGGTTTGCCTTTGAAGCTCCACTGCATGCTACTGCTTTTGATGCGAAAGCTCCCAAGGACAATGGTTTAGAAAACGGTTTTCTCTTACAAGTGACTATTTCGATGTGTACCGTTAGAATATTTCGAAAAATTATTTCGACGTCTGTGACGTCACTTTTGTAAAACGTCGAAATAGCGGCTTTATGATTTCGAAGTCCCTCGTCTATGCAGCCGTCGCATTGGTAGCCGTTTCAGGTAGCCGTTTCGAGGTTTCGTTCTGTTTACTTTTTGATGAAATCGTCGCTGTTGCGTTGACGTGTTGACGAAGCCATGTGTCGCGTGCCCAAGAGGTTTCGGTCTTAGGTGCAGTGACAATGTCTTATTCAACGCGTGTGTGGGACTGGCTCGAGAGTTGATCCTTTCGGACGTGACACTCCCGGTGGCGGTGCTCTGAGCTCTCGCACGTCATTTCTGCGCGCGTCTCAAATAAAAATTTCGAATTTAAGACAGAGGCGAGCTGCATAGCCCTCAGTCTTCCCTGAATGTAATAAATTTAAGTGCGTACATTATCTGACACTGAGAAATTTGGCACGCTTTTTGTGCCTTTACATCGTGCGAGCGCATCTTCGTACCGTTGCAGTCTCTCTTTACATCTGGCTTCCACCGTTTTCAACCAGGTTTCGTGAGTTCGTTGTTTAGTTTAGATTTCCTGTTTGGTTCGTGTATAGCGAGCGGGTTAAACACGAAACGATCGAAATCTTCAACAGGAGGTTGTAAATGAAGACACTGCCTCTTTGACGTCTCTTGACCGGTGCGGACAGAAAAAGGTGCGGCGCGTTTGTACGAGTATCTCGTACAACCGCGCCGCAGTTGATTGAAAGATGCGTGTATCACGCATCTTTCAATCAACCGCAGATTTTATAAAGCGACATTCAGCGCCATTGTTTGTGGAAAACACGTGAAATAAATTTTGAGAAGCAACAGTGCCGCATTCTGTAATGTTAGGCACAAACAAGCAAAGGTTACTTGCGGTCTTTGTTGATGCTGTAGTTTGATAAGTTTTTTTTTTTTTTTGCATTGTACAATAATTAACACATTATAAAAACTGCAGTAGACTGCGTATTTGTGTTCGGAAAATGCGTGTTGAATTCGATGCCGCCTGCAAAGAAGGCGATATTTGTTTGACCGCCACATTCGGCCACTTTCCAGTCCGAACTGTGAAGCCCCAAATATCCCAAAGTTTTAGTGGGATATGAGAAGAAGGAGAACTATTTTCAAGAGGGACGTCAGTAGGATTTTTTTTTAATTACCACGTCTCAAAGGAGTGGCGTCACAGACGTTAAAATAATATCTTTAATTATTTTGTACGTGAATGTCGAAATATTCACTACATTTTCTATGCCGTACTTGTAACAAATAGGAGAAGTGGAACTCTATTGAATACGTACGATGCACCTTAAGGGCATCTGATTTCTCTCTACGTTTTACTGATTAGGAATTTAGAACGGGAATAGGTGTTTTTTGTTGCATACCTAATAGAAATGCTATACACAATACGAAAAAAAGCTGAAGCACTTAAAACATAAAAAAAAAAAAAAACTGAGTGAGGTGCGGCTTACCATAGCGTAACTTCTGAATTAGATAATTGCACGAAAACTGGACGGTAGCTAGCGTAAACAACTTTTAGTTTTAACATCTGGGAGAGAGAGAGAGAAAACGTTTATTGAAACAACAGGAACGGGGTAGGGGAGAAAAGAGTCAGGAGCTGTGGGCGGCCATCCTATTCCGGTAGGCCGCGTGCCGCGGCTGCCATCCTCGCCCGAGAGATCCGGGCCTCCTGGTCTTCGAGCTGGCTGCTCTGCAACACGCACTCCCACTGCTCAAGGGTAGGGGATCTGGGTGGTGGAGGGTTGGTGGGGCACGTCCAGACGAGATGAGCTGTGGTGCTGGGCTCATCGCATTGGGGGCAGTTCAGTGGGTAGTTAGCAGGAGAGATGTGGTGGAGATGGAGGTGATTGTAATACGTGTTGGTTTGAAGTCGGCGCCAGATGCGGGCGTCAGCGGTAGAAAGGGAAGGGTGTGGAGGGGGATAGGTGCGTCAGGTTGCTCTGTAGTGGTAGAGGATGTCAGCGTATGTTTGGGAGAGGGGCGTAAGGGAGTTGGCAATGCTGGCTGCGTTGTTGGCTTCTTCTGGGAATGCCCGGTGAAGGAGAGGTCGGGCGGTGGCGTGTGCCACCTCGTTCCCAGGGAGGGCAGTGTGGCTGGGTGTCCACACTATGCGGGCATGAGGGAGGGTGGGGCATTGAGTAAGGATGGCCAGGGTAAGAGCTGAGACTCGTCCGAGTGCAAAGCGACGGCAGGCAGCTTGTGAGTCAGACATTATTGTTATGCTGGGACTCGTGGCTTGGGTCATTGCGAGGGCAATGGCTGCTTCTTCGGCCGTGGTAGTAGACGCTCTGTGCAGACGGTTGCTGAGGTGAGGAAGGCATTGTCGATGCGGGCAACAGTAGCGACGTGAGCTGGTCGTTGAGGATAGGGAGAGGCGTCTGTATAGAGGGTGGTCGGGTCGCTGCCGTATTTTCTGATGAGGAGGCGGGTGCGATGCTGACGACGGCCGGCGTTGTATGTAGGGTGCATATGACGCGGAATGGGAAGGACATGGATGTTGCGTCGCATTGACGGAGGTATGCGTTGTGGCGAGTACGGAGTTTGTACCACCTTCCGGCCTAGCGTTTTGAGCAAATGACGACTGGCGGGTGTGAGTTGTAGGCGCTGCAGTTGGTTTTGGAGATGGGCTTCAATAATCTCCGAGAGGGTCTTGTGTAGACCCAGTTTCAATAAGCGGTCGGTAGAAGTGAAGGTAGGCAGGCCGAGGGCTGTCTTATAAGATTTGCGGATTAGGACATCAATCTTGGCATGTTCTTGTGGTTTTAAAGTAAGATAGGGTGCCCCGTAGGTGATGCGGCTGATCAGCATTGCTTGAAGGATGCGGGAGTTATCTGTTTCCTTGAGTCCGTGTCGGCGAGAGCATATTCGTTGAATTAGGTGTGTAAGTTGGGAGACTGTCTGTATAAGTTTGGGGAGATACGCGGCCCCGGAGCCGTCGTGGTGGTAGTGAACTCCTAGGATGCGGAGGGTCTTGACGGTGGGGATGGCTTGCCCGTTGAGAGAAAGGGAAGGGTCCGGGGTAGGGTTTGGTGGGCGGCCCCGGGTTCGTGCTCGGAGGACGAGTAAGGCGGATTTTGATGGGGCGCAGCAGAGACCACAGGTTTGGAGATATTGGAGCGTAGTGTCGATTGCCTGTTGAAGACTGTCTTGCTGTTGTCCGGGAGAGCCTGTGTTGGACCCTATGGTAATTTACATTTTTAGTAAGGAGCGCCGTTTGGGAAATTGCCTGCGCTTTCAAATGGAGAGCAGCCCAACATACGTCCGCCCCTTAGAACACGTTGACACTGAGCCGTTGCAGCATTTTCAATACTTCGTATGCCCCACGCTACCGATACTCAAAAAGAATAACAAAAAAAAAAAAAAGACAAAATACGCACAAATATAGGGGATGACAATGTTGGTCGGGCCTTCGGTGGCCTTCGGAAATGGCGGCATAAGGAAACAAGGTGATGAGAGAAGGCCTAGGAAAGCGCAGGAGCTTACTGGAAAAAAGTCCATTGCCTCAGGTAATGGCCGAACCTGTTCACCGCGTCTTCTCTGTCAAAGACATGGTGACTTCATCGTAGCAACCTCTCTGAGCGCAGTGAGAGGCGAGCAACAGTCAGTTGACATGTACGATGACGTCATTTCCGCTTCATTTTCTTCTTCCTTCTTCTTTTACACTTGGCTGGCAGCACAGGGCGGAGCTACGATAGAAGTACATTTTGCGGAAAAGTGGCTCTTACGAAAGGCATGAAATATATACACAGATTATGTTTAAGGCGATTACAATTAGATTTACAAGTTTACAACTTTTTTTTCTAATCCGGCTATAGCTTTGGTTTTCCTGTACCTAAATTCGACCTTTACATTTATGTTTCCACAGTTCCCTGAACTGAAATGGACTGCGGCGCCAGTGCTACAAATGCTACAATGAGGAAGATTGGGATGCTTCCAAGAAACGCTACGGTCTTGTAATCTCAGATTAAATAAACAATTACGCACCTCATCGCTCTACTTTGCAGTCCTGTTCGCTCTGCTTTCATTCAGTTGCCTGCAAAATATAAATCCTTATGGTAGCGGCAATTTCCCTATCACTTTAGAATTCAGACTCATGCTGCTCCAGTGTTTACACGGTACTCAACTTTGTGGGTCCGACAAGACGAACTGCTCAGTTTTAATCGAGTCTTTATTTTCTTTTGAATTTTATACGATCTCTGTATTGGCGATATACTACACCACCATGTAAATTTTAGATACGTCAATCCTGGCTATTCGCAACTCCAACGCCCTATAGGTGGCGGGGTGGTAGTTCCAAGATGGCGGAAGAGACGGGGATAGATTCTCGAGGATATCCCGTGCGCCTGCTTGCTGACGCTGTTCAGCGCGCTAAAAATGATTCATCTGTTTACAAATGCGAAACGGTTAGGGAGGGATCATATAACAGGTGACGGAGATGCTGATGCGCGTTAGGAAAACGAGCATGCTGTTATTTAGAAGTTGCAGAAACCTCAAAGTGCGAAGCTTTGTAGTGAGCGAGCGCGTTTTAGGCACCGGCCACGTTACTGTTTCTGGCAGGATATTTTTGGGGGTGATGAAGATATATTTGCGCTTTGCCTGGCAAATTAGGGCTCTAAAAAAAGAGCCGCGAACGGTGACCGTCAAGCTTCGGAAGAGCAGCAATACACAGTATTGGTGTGTTCGCGTCCTAGCCTCTCAAATCGCTGCTCACCGTCTCGGTTTCAGTGTATTGCAACACGTAATCAAACTGCTCTATGGTTATTGATAGAAAGTTTGTTACTGCAGGCTACCGTGCGGTGTAGCATTACAACCGCAAGCTCGCGCTGCGGCTTTGAAGCGCAATTTTCAGTGCGCGCCAGAAGCGTTGCCGTGCTCATCTTCAAAAAAAAAAAAAAAATGTTGTAGTCCTTACACTTCTTGTCACGTATACGACGCTTCAAAACTTCAGTTCGCCGTGCAGCCCACTCACGCCAAACTAACGGCCCCAACTTTTACGAGAACCTTGATGACGGCGCAACGCAAGATATTAAACAGCGAAAGTACGCATCAAAGAGTACCGAAAAACAAAACAAAAAAACAGCGAGATTTTGCAGTGGGGCCAAGAAAACCCCGATTTCTCTTTCTCTTTTTTTTGTTTACAGTCCTTTACACTTACTTAAGCTATTTCAAAAAGTTGCGCAACTCGGCTATCAAGCCGCTTGTGAAAGTTAATAGCGCCGGTTGAACGTCAGTGCGCTGTGCGTCCAACTGATGTCGTACGCTATGCAGAAACTCTCTAAAATTTTTTTAATATACCCTACATTTGTTGTACCATGTTATTTGCAACATTGCGCTCCCTCTGGCCAAAACTGCGCGTTCTAAGGTCTCGTCGCGAACGGCTGGCTAACACAGACGCGCTTAAAATGCTTCGAGCATTTCTTTATTTGCTTTGTAATCACGTGAAAGCAAGTACGGTTATTCTGTCTTTTCAAAGTGCTTGGAATAAATGGTCCTGTTCCTTGTAACGGCCTTAAAACGGGAAGCCATTCCCGATTTGTATTGCTCGACATACCGTTGCGCGACGACGTTTTTCGTACTTATGGCAAAGAATACTTTCCGTAGACCGTACTCTGGAGTTCTTCATTATTAGCAGGAGCGTTTTCCGTCACGTTGAGCACAGATTGAGCTGGCGGCCATGCACAAGACCAGAAATCCGCAGCGTATGCGATACACAAAAAGTCCCTAATGAAATTAGACCTCCCGGTCCTTTGTGCAAGGCTGTTGCAAGGTGGAGCACAAGAATTCCCTTTTTAACGCGCTCACTTTTTTTCGTTAAAACGGCTTCACGCATCAAGGCCGACAGTCCCTGCCACCGTTTCCGCGCCGCCGTCGCCGCTGCCGTCCCCGCTCCTCTGGTTCTCCGTTCGTCCGCGGGAGGGCGAGCGGCGCGCTGGAGTTGCGAATACCTTTGGCATCAACTCATGTTCCGATGTGTGCAAAACCATAGTCAAACGGCGACTGCCGTGAACCTAAAAATTGACTTACACATTGTAAACAAAATTCAAAAGCAGCGCGAGTGACAAGAACAGAAGAAAGGACATACAGAACAGGACAAGTCCCGACTCGCTACTACTGTTGTTGTTTTTTTTTTGTTTTTTTTTTTGCACTTACAGTAAAGAAAGCAAACACGCAAGGTACACATTCACCTATAAAAAAAAAGGACAAACAACAACGCATCGCACAGTCACACGCCTATCGTGTATTTTCCTTCTTTGGTCCTCGTCATTTGCGCTGTCTTTGTCCACCATGTCTACCGACTACAAACTAGCTCAGTTTTCAACTTCATCACAAAACATTGGCGACGACCTTTGTATTCAAAGTTCTACAATGCAGGCAACACACTAATTGAAAAGTCAGCTTTGAAATTCGTTTTGAAAGACATTCGACAGCCTTTTCGGAAAGTGTAGGCAAACCTATTTTTATTTATTGATCGATAAATATGGCATGTAACTCAGATTGATATTTAGGCCACATGACATGAGTTACTCCACTAAATTTTGCAGGAAGAGTGAGGTAATATGTAGGTCACGTGAGGTAACATTTCCCTCTTAGTTTAGCGGATATACTTTATTGGTTTGAAGGTCTTGCGACGTCAAATATTCTAATAAATTGACCGAAGAAACTCAATAGGTGTACATGTCACGTGACATTAGTTTCCTTGCTAGATTTAGCGGGAGAACACAAAGACGGACGGACGCATGTTTGGTTGAGTTAAATTGAATCATATAATTTAAAAAGAAACTAAACTAACTGTGGCCGAACTTTCTTCGTTATCCTACAATAAGTAGATGTAAATAAAGCAAAGTTTATATTCGTTATCCTACAATAAGTAAATATAAAGAAAGCAAAGATTATAAGTTTTCGTTTAAATAAGCTATTGCATTATGACACAACGTTGGCGTATCAGCAGTTGTGAAATTACGCAAACAAACGCCTGCAGGGGTTTAGGGGTTTGCTTTAAAACTAACTTAAGTCGAAATGATTACATTAGCAACCTGCGAATAAAAATAGCGGGATCTATTGGATATAATATGCCGGCTAAAAACACCTATCACTGAGTGTAGAAAAGAATTACACTTCTGCCTAGATCACTCCCCTCATGTGTATTGTCATCTTATCCTGGGGTACGTGCAATAAGACTGATTTAGATCGACTTCTTTCACTTTTTGAAAGGGCCCTACGAACATTGCTTATGCGTACAACTGTTGCTAACTGCTACCTATATAACAAATTTGTGACACTACCATTTTTTGAGTTCTCAAGTTGCTGCCTAGGTACTTTAATCTATTACAGTTAAACACGGCTTTATTTATTTTGTGAACAAATACTTATCAGGAAACAAAATAAACCTACGCACTATTTCCTTCGTGGGGTAGCTGGTCCCGAGCATATTATGGTGCCCAAAGTATTGACAATAAAATTATAACCTCATGCAATACGCACCCTTTGTTGTTTACTGAACGTGCTCAAAAAAGTAGAACCATCTACCAATCAGAAAAAAAAAGACTGCAAATTTCTTTTTTTTTTTAGTTTTTTCTTATTTATGCGTAATAAAGTAAAGTAGAATATTTCAAGCACAACTCGACAAGGATAACCCCCTCCCCGTCAGTAATTAAAAAAAAACCTTATCCTCTGTGTTTTTATTCTCTCGTTATTGTGTATTAATTGAGCTGTTGGCTCCCCTTGCACTGTGCTTGTGCTAGGTGAATATATAAACCTATTGTAAAATGTTTTTCATTTATTGTTTTTTTAGTATGTTTTGCAGTCTGAAGTGCAAACCTCAGGTGATTGCCTCATCAGGAGACACATATTGGTCCCTTTTAGCCGCACCTCGTGGGAATTTGTGCTTTGTATGCTTTGTACTTGTGTTCAAACTTCCATTGCCTTGATCGGTTACTACACTTCTACCAAATTAAACAGGTGATGCTACGATTCTTGTACCTCACGTGTCTAAGCGGTATTTGCGCGTCTCGCAAGTACCGCTTAGAACGCATCCCTGACGTTAATGACCTGTGAAACATTCGTTCGTTTTTCACCACACAAAGTCAAAATCGCAAAAAAAAAAAAAAAAATAAACGAGCTGTGTTTAGCCCAATAGATGGGATTGTGTGGATATTCAGACATCCATTTCGAAGCTTCGACGAGTCACTCTGTGTAGATGGAATATTTAGCCAGTGCAGTACAAACGGTAGCCTGGGGTCTTTAACGTGCACCACGCAGTAGTGATACACGACGGCACGCCGGTACAATGCTCATCCAGATCGAAACGGGCAGGGGTGGTGATTGAACCCAGGATTCCTGGGTTCTGCAGCGCGAGCTTTTGCTCCACGTGCTCCGAGCTGGTGTGCGCAAGCCCACTCGGCCATCGATCCTTTTTTTTTTCACCAAAAACTTTTATTAAATGTGTGTCTATATACAAAGTTTAAAAATGATCACATTGGTTGCCATACACCTATCATGACAGGGAACACTGTTTGACAGGCGAGGACCCCGATTCACACATAAATTCAAAATGTATCTGGCTCGGTCATTTCTTTGTAGCGTCACATGCACCGCAGCCACTCGCGCAGTGGCCCGGTAATTCTTATTTAGCGTTGAGCCTACAGAGCGCGGTTATGGAAACGCGTTCCAAATAGAGACCAGCATTCATGCCTTTCTGGCTCCGTCGCCTTAAGAAGTCTGCTCACGTACCGAAAGCCGTCGCAGAAGTGCTCCCACGCGGGCTTGGATCCCTTGATCTGGAACCTCCAAGTGATCTGTCCTCGAGCGCCACAGCGCATATAGACCGAGGAGGGAGAGCAGCTCCTAAGCCCTGCTCTGTGCACTGTCGCCGAAAAGGAGAAACTTCGCGCTCTTCCACTCCACGAAAATATCTATCTGCAGCACTGCTCGAAGTTCTGCCCAAAAAGTTCCGCATTCGTAGAATACAAAACCACATGCTCAAGTGTT